GACCGCCGAGGCTAAAGGCTAGCCCGGACTGCTTGGCTGCGCCACGGAGGCAGCCGCTATGGACTGTCGGAGAGCTGGACAGTGACTGGCTAACAGCGCTGTAGCAGAGACAGCATCCGGTCCGCAGGGAGAGTCGGAGAGTGGATTTAGTTTGGGACTGGTGAACGGAACCTACCGAGCAACTGAACTGTAAGTTGGACTTTCGTGCTCTTACTGGGGAGAAGAGGATTTTTCTCCATCGTCCGGCGTGAGCAGCAAACAGGCCTGCAACAAGTGTGAATGTGAGTGTGTGTGGGCCCATGTGTGAATATTGTGTATCTAGTGGATTATATAGCATATTTTTGAGTGTATCATTCGTGAGTCACTTACCAAGAGGTGATAACATAATTTGTGTTGTTTAACATAATTTCAAAGGGAATTATTTCATTTACAGGCATGTTTCATGTGTTTATGAAGCTGGATATCATTTGAGTTAGTTAAGAAAAGGGTGTGGTGTACATTACTTTGTAAACGTTGTTGTGAAATTGTCTGGATCTCCTGTTACACTTGCAGGCTAAGGTTTACTGATAGTTTCCCTGATTCCTGTCTATACCAGAACCTTTTTGTGGTATCTAGGCTGTAACGAACCTAACACCCCGCCTAGGGGGTCCAAACTGAGGTAAGTGATTTAGACTCAGTATCACGGTTGGGGTGCTACACTGGACCAGCTCTTTATCCTCTCAGGATACTTGAGGGTGCATGGGAGTTTGCCCAACCAGTCTACATGTGTTTTGTGGACTTGGAGAAGGCATTCGACCGTGTCCCTCGGGGTGTCCTGTGGGAGGTGTTGCGGGAGTATGGGGTGTCTGGCCCATTGCTACGGGCCATTCGATCCCTATACAACCGTTGCAAGAGCTTGGTTCGCATTGCCGGCAATAAGTCGGACTCGTTCCCGGTGGGTGATGGGCTCCGCCAGGGCTGCCCTTTGTCTCCGGTTCTGTTCATAATTTTTATGGACAGGATTTCTAGGCGCAGCCAAGTGGCGGAGGGCTTTCGCTTTGGTGGCCTCAGAATCTCATCTCTGATTTTTGCAGATGATGTGGTTCTGTTGGCTTCATCGGGTGAGGGCCTCCAGCTCGCACTGGAACGGTTCGCAGCCGAGTGTGAAGCAGCGGGAATGAGGATCAGCACCTCCAAATCTGAGGCCATGGTTCTCAGCCGGAAAAGGGTGGAGTGCCCACTCCGGGTCGGGGATGAGTTCCTGCCCCAAGTGGAGGAGTTCAAGTATCTCGGGGTCTTGTTCGCGAGTGATGGGAGAAGGGAGCCGGAGATCGACAGACGGATTGGGGCTGCAGCTGCAGTAATGCGGACGCTGCACCGGTCCGTCGTGGTGAAGAGGGAGCTGAGTGTAAAAGCGAAGCTCTCAATTTACCGGTCGATCTACGTCCCTACCCTCACCTATGGCCACGAGCTGTGGGTAGTGACCGAAAGAACGAGATCGCGGATACAAGCGGCAGAAATGAGCTTCCTCCGAAGGGTGGCTGGCCTCTCCCTTAGAGATAGGGTGAGAAGTTCGGCCATCCGGGAGGGGCTCAGAGTAGAGCAGCTGCTGCTCCACATCGAAAGGAGCCAGCTGAGGTGGTTCGGGCATCTGACAAGGATGCCCCCTGGGCGCCTCCTGGGTGAGGTGTTCCAGGCATGTCCCACCGGGAGGAGGCCCCGGGGCAGACCCAGGACACGCTGGAGAGATTATATCTCTCGGCTGGCCTGGGAACGCCTTGGTATTCCCCCGGACAAGCTGGAGGAGGTGGCTGGGGAGAGGGAGGTCTGGGCCTCTTTGCTTAGGCTGCTGCCCCCGCGACCCGACCCCGGACAAAGCGGATGACGATGGATGGATGGAAGTTTGCATATGGTAGAATACTGCATGTAGTCTATTTGTATTAGACATATATCAACAGTTATTAGGCATATGAAATAATGTGTCGATCTCTAGGGCAGGTCTGGGTAGCATCAGGATGTTCACCCCCACAGTCTGGGAGCATGAGAGATCATACCTTGTCTTATTGTTTTACGGTAGGATTAACGTAGCTATGTCGTTTTAGTTTAAGTGCTTCTTTACATATAGATGAACTGTGGACTTCCAACCATGTTCTAGGTAAGGGAGATACGCCTTTACCTGACAAGGTGTCCATTGCATCTCTGACTTATCAGCAGACACACACACACGCACACACCTCGAAGTATAAATAAAGACCGGGGCAGTTTCTTAGGCGAGTCTCTTTGGAGACTGCCCTTGCTAGCAAGAAGTTCTGTGTGTTTCTCTTCTCTGAGTCTTTACTGAAGAAGTGTTTTAGAATATATTTCTTACAAGCATCCAGATACATCCCAGTCATTGTGTTGACTGTTGACTCATTTTCTCAGGGCTCCACATGTAGACATATAAAAAACAAACACAATGGTGACAGTGTTTTTAAAACCTATTGAAATGTTACATACAAATAAAGCAAACCTTTTTATGTCGTCTAGGCCATTTGTCTGAGGGTGATACGCTGCTGTGACACTTCTTTCTATTTTCATTAAGCTGCAAAGTCTTGAGTTGAGCTTCAAAGAAAAAAGAAAATTGTTTTTTAAAAACAATCACACAAAACCTTTGGCCTGGCAGCTACTTGGCACACTGTGGCCAAGTATTTACCTAAAGAGGTATGGAAAAGTAAACTTAACACTTATTTACAACAGACTATTTATTTACATCAAAACACCAAACTATTTACAACCAGGGGGGGAAGATCGCGACCATGACAAACTGAAACACAGGGCTTAAATACATAGAGGGAGCAATCAGGGAATGGACAACAGGAGGGAAACACAGCTGGGGCAAATCAGAACTGACGAGACAAGGAAGCGTAAACTGAACACACTGAGATAAGACAGACTTTCAAAGTAAAGCAGGAAACACAACCGTCACGCCTAAAGCAAAACACTGACAACACCGAATCGTAACAATATTATCATATGTTTCAGTTTATTCTGGTTATGTCTTCTGCTAAGATTTCTAGTTCCTTGGTTTTGGTTCCCTCTGTTCCAGTTCAGTCAGTCTCTGTAAAGTCCGTGTCTCTGAGTCTGTGTCTTTGCATGTGTGTTAAGTTTCCTGTTTTATTGTGAAGGTCCATGTCTTATGTCGCTGTATTCACTTTCGAGTCCTCCCTATCTCGTCATGTTGATTAGGTTCAGCCGTGTCTCCTTCCTGTGTGCAGTTTCCTCGTTTTCCTCTGTGTACATGTAGTGCGTGTTCTCCTGTCCTCCACATTTCACCTTTAAAAACTATTTACTTTGCCTTGTTTGGTATCGTCCTTTTCAGCACAACCTCACGTGTCTGAATTTACAGTTATGTTTTCATTTTGACATACTGTATTAACACAATTGATCTAAAATCAGACAAAAAACATAAAATCAGAGTAGAAAAAGTTATATTTTTACTGTAACAACCACAAACATGTTTAATGAATCATATTTCATAACTTTAAATGCAAATATAAATTGTCAATTTTAAAATCATATGCACAAGTTTTGCAAACAACAAAGTTATTTGCAGCCATTTACCTTTTACCCCTTTTTAATAACCATTTCAAACTATTTACAGAACAATCAGCTGTTCTTCAATAAGATGCCACAAATTATTTGTGCCACTCCAAATATTTCTGTCCACTATAAAGGAGAACATCACAGCCTGATACCTGCAGGTCTGACAGCAGCAGGTGTGTCACTCCTGTTTCTACCTGGAGACAGCAGTCGCCTCATTGTTCTGACACACAACACAAAACTATCCACAACACTACACACTAACTACACAAGACATAACTACACAAGACAACACATTAACTACACACTGCAAACACGCTAAACGTCACAAATCTCTCACATCTCAAAACTCTCTCTCTCTTTGTCTTTATCTCTCTCTCTCTCGTCACTCCTAAATCTTCCCCTCTTCCTAAACAACCAAATGTCATGTTTCCATATCATTTTTTGATTGGTCGACATGGTGCATTTTTCCACCAACACAAACGGGCTGTTTTTGTTTTGTTTTATTATTTTTTGCTCATAAGCAGAGAGCGCTCGCTGCGCTGTCCTTAGACAGTAAACATGAAACTATTGAGGAAAAACACGCGTATATATTGTTTATCATGACTCTGGTTTTACGTGGCCTATCAACACAATTTATAAACTGGTATATGTCACCTTGTTGCTTTGTCTTTAAGTGGTCATGTGATTGGCTTACCACGACTCCTTTATTCTTCCTCAGTCAAACAGCAGCACTCATGCGATTGTTTTGCCCCCTGAGCTCCAGGTGTTGTGCCAGAAAGTGATCGTCGGGCAGAAAGTGATCACCGTCCGCGGGAGCGCGCAGCTGCTTAAAGCTGTAGCGTCCAGATTACTTACAGCTACTTCCGTGCAGCTGATATAAGATGCAGTAAGCTGAACACAGCTTCAACCATCTGTTTGTTGACAAATAGTAACGGACTGCACCGCATTTTCTTGTTAGTAACTGTAACGGTGTTGTAGCGATAGGAATAGTAATTAGTTAGATTAATCGTTACTGAAAAAGTAACGCCGTTACTTGTAACGCCGTTATTCCCATCACTGTTCACAGATCAGTATAACTCTGATCTGTAACCAGCTCCTTTATTTACATTTTGTAAATAAAGTCTTCAGAGTTGTTTTATTGTCAGAGTGGCAGGTAAATTAACCCTAACCCTAAACTGGGAGGACTGAATGGGCCTTTCAGTGATTCTCTGAGGAGCCAACAGGTTCAGCAACAGTCAGGGTGGCGTTAACAATCTGCAACTCACGTCTTTACACTTATACATTAGCGATATTAGCATTAAATTGTTAATTAAGTATTATATTGTAGTACAACACAATAAAAACTAAACATTTTATTCACTACAATAAAATTACAAATTAATCAGACTAAGCTATATTAACTGCTGTGGTTTTGTACTGTGTGCTGACTGGTCATCTGTAAAGGACCTGAACTGTCACAGTATGCAGAAGCAGACTGTATGTATAGTGAACAGTGGAACCAGACACAAAGGAACGTGGGACCAAACTTGAATTAACAAAAAGTGAGCAGTTTAATATGACTGATGGAGAAATACAAAGTAATGCATAAGGCAAACAAAGATGAGAATAAACAATAACGTAAACTGGGGAAGCTAAAAATACACATGAAAAAGCATAAACATGAAACTTGTCGTGGATACAAAGATACCTGAAACAGGGAGACATGACGCAAAAGACAACAGACGACCTGACACTGAACAAAGGAGGACTTAAGTACACAGAAAGATGTGTGAGGATGGGGAACAGGTGGGACAAATCAGACCAGAGGTGACAAGGGGAAGCAAAACTAAACACACTGCAATTAGGACAGGGAAACAGCATGGAACGCAGACATGACAACACGAACCTGACACCATAAGACACGCAGGCATGAAACACATGCCTTAGGGCGAACAAAGGGCGAACATAAACACAGGGGTAAAGGACACAAGGGGAATCGAAAAAACAATCAACTATAACGGCAACTTAGGCAAAGTAGAAATGAACTTGGAATTCCTAAAGGACTTAAACATAAACTATAAACATCAAAATAAGCTAAAACTTTAAACGCTGGGTCAAAAGACCCAGGATCATGACCTGAACAGGTGGAACTGATTCTTAAAGATTCCATTAAGCAGTTAAAAAGAAGCTGAAGATTCAGGACAGCATGGAGTTCGGTCCGCAGCAGTCAGACGATGTTGGTGTCGTACTTCACATCCTGCAAACATCAACACGATACGTGAGCCCTGCTCTGCAACAAGTCCAACACACCTGTAACCTGGTATCTGTCCATGACCAGGATTCACTTATACTAAGTCACATGAAGCTAAGTTTTGACCAGGACATGTCCTTCAACGCACATATTAAACAAATATGTAAGACTGCTTTCTTCCATTTGTGCAACATCTCTAAAGTTAGAAATATCCTGTCTCAGAGTGACGCTGAAAAACTAGTTCATGCATTTATTACTTCCAGGCTGGACGACTGTAATTCATTATTATCAGGATGTCCTAAAAACTCCCTGAAAAGCCTTCAGCTGATCCAAAATGCTGCAGCAAGAGTCCTGACAGGGACTAGAAAGAGAGAGCAGATTTCTCCTGTTTTGGCTTCCTGTTAAATCCAGAATTCAAAATCCTGCTCCTCACATACAAGGTCTTAAATAATCAGGCCCCATCTTATCAAACATCATCATCATCATCATCATCGTTTATTTGTATAGCACTTTAAGAACACACCAGGCAGACCAAAGTGCTGAACAACACAGATCAAAACAACAACCAAATTAAAAATACCATAAAATCATTACATACAATAAAATAAATAAGAAGGTGTCAGTTTCCTACAGAGTTAAAAGCCAGGGAATAAAAATAGGTTTTCAATCTGGACTTAAAGACCTGCACTGATGACGCTTGTCTAATTTGGAGGGGAAGGTTATTCCAGAGCATCGGAGCCGCAATTGAAAAGGCACGGTCTCCTCTGCATTTCAGCCGCGACTTAGGGACCGACAGCAGCAGCTGCTCAGCTGAACGGAGCGAGCGAGGAGGAACATGTGGCTTCAGCAAGTCAGATAAGTACACAGGAGCCAGACCATTTAAAGATTTAAAAACCAATAAAAGGACCTTAAAACGAACCCTAAAATCAATGGGAAGCCAATGCAAGGAAGCCAGAACCGGAGTGATGTGATCGAATTTCCTACTACCGGTTAAAAATCGCGCCGCCGCGTTTTGCACTAACTGCAGGCGTGACAAGGTGCCCGACCCGACCCCTATTAAAAGGGAATTACAATAGTCCAGACGTGAGGTGATAAAAGCATGAATAAGAGTTTCCAAATTGGGTTTGGAAAGGAAAGGCTTAACCTTCGACAGGCGTCTGAGGTGATAAAAAGCTGATTTTACCACCCCACTTACATGACCTTCAAAAGTAAGCGCAGAATCAAGTTTAACACCAAGATTAGTGATTGAACTTTTCAGATGAGAGGTCAAATCACCAAAATCAACAAACATCTGATCTTAATGACCTTGTAGTACCATATCACCCTATTAGAGCACTTCGCTCTCGCTCTGCAGGCCTACTTGTTGTTCCTAGAGTATTTAAAAGTAGAATGGGAGGCAGAGCCTTCAGTTTTCAGGCCCCTCTTCTGTGGAACCAGCTTCCAGTTTGGATTCAGGAGACAGACACTATCTCTACTTTCAAGATTAGGCTTCAAACTTTCCTTTTTGCTAAAGCATATAGTTAGGGCTGGACCAGGTGACCCTGAATCCTCCCTTAGTTATGCTGCAATAGACGTAGGCTGCCGGGGATTCCCATGATGCATTGAGTTTTTCCTTTCCAGTCACCTTTCTCACTCACTATGTGTTAACAGACCTCTCTGCATTGAATCATATCTGTTATTAATCTCTGTCTCTCTTCCACAGCATGTCTTTATCCTGTCTTCCTTCTCTCACCCCAACCAGCAGATGGCCCCGCCCCTCCCTGAGCCTGGTTCTGCTGGAGGTTTCTTCCTGTTAAAAGGGAGTTTTTCCTTCCCACTGTCGCCAAAGTGCTTGCTCATAGGGGGTCATATGATTGTTGGGTTTTTCTCTGTATGTATTATTGTAGGGTCTACTTACAATATAAAGCACCTTGAGGCGACTGTTGTTGTGATTTGGTGTTCAGGCTCAGTGCCAGGGACATTTTTTGGGTCTTCCACTTGGCCTTTTGTTCCATAACCCTCAGGACCATTTAAGAAATTCGCAATGACTGTCTTACTGCGTCCCACCTCGGCAGCGATGACACGCTGTGAGAGACCCTGCTTATGCAGTTCAACAATCTGACCACGCTCAAAAAAGCTTTTTTGCCTTCAGGACGTCATGACAGTGTGACTACCTGACAGAAAATGACAATGAATCCACGTTTCTGCACAGGTTTGTCCTTTTAAAGGCATGTGATCCTAAACTTTGATCAGCTGTAAAACAGTCTGTTTCAGTTTAAGCATTGTTTTCAATAAATTGCATGCTCAAAAAAATGTTTTGTCTCACTCCCATTTCTTCTTGTTGCATGTTGAAGCTCTACTTAGAACCTTGTTAAGATACCATGCAAAATATGATTTTTTTTTTGTTGCCATTTTTCAAGTGGTCTTAAACTTTTGATCGAACTGTATTTATTGGTGTCCCATGATGCTGTGTGAATAAGTGTTTGCCCACTTTCCTGATTTTTCTACTTTTTCTATCTTTGTCACATTAAATGTTTTAGATCATCTAACATTAGACAAAGATAACACAAGTAAACACAAAATGCAGGGGAAACAATCCAAACCTACATGGCCCTGTGTGAAAAACTGATCACACCTTTGGAAGTTCAGTTTCTCTAGCCACACCCAGGCCTCATTACCGCAACATGAAATCATTGAAAGCACTTAAATAGGACCTGACTGACAAAGTGGAGCAGACCAAAAGATCTTCAAAAGATAGACATCATGACATGATCGAAGTAAATTACGAACAAAATAGAAACAAAATTATTGAGATCAGTTAGTCTGGAAAAGGTTTTAAAGGCTCTGGGACTCGAGTAAACCACAGTGAGAGCCATCCACAAAAAACATGGAACAGTAGTGAACCTTCCCAGGAGTGACTGACCAAAATTACCCCAAGAGTGCAGCCATGACTCATCCAAAGACCCCAGAACAACAGCCAAAGAACTGCAGGCCTCACTTGCCTCAGTTAAGGTCAGAGTTCATGACTCCACCATAAGAAAGAGACTGGGTGAAGCTGAAACGCACTTGGTTTCAGCAAGAGGACAACGATCAAAACAAAGCAGCAAGTCCACCTTTGAACGGCTTAAGAAAAACAAAATGAAGACTTTACAGTGAGCTGGTCAAACTCTTGACCCGACTCTGATTGAGATGCTGCGTGACCTTAAAAAGGTGGTTCATGCTTGAAAATCATCCAGTGTGGCTGAATTACAACAATTCTGCAAAGACGAGTGGGCCAGAATTCCTCCACAGCTGTGAAACACTCAATGAAGTTACAATGCTCGATTGCAGTTGTTGCTGCTAAGGATGGCCCAACCCGTTATTAGGTTTAGGGGGCAATCACTCTTTCACACAGGGCCTTGTAGGTTTGGGAGTTTTTCCTGTATTTTGTGTTTACCTTTGTTTTCTTTGTCTAATATTTAAATTTGTTTGATCCGAAACATTTGAGTGTGACAGACATAGAGAGTTTGAGATTTAACTTTGAGATTTTTATGTTAATTTGAAGTTTGTCGTTACAGTTGGACACTGCTGCTTATTGATGTTATTATTATTTTATTTTGATTTTTTAAATCTTGCACAGTCTGTATATGACTGTCACTTATTCTGAGTTTCTGCAGTACTCAGTCCTACACAAATACACACTATTATTGCTTATCACTGTCTGCACACACAGCTTTGATGGATCCTCCAGGAGTGATGACACCATTTTCTGGTGAACTGATTGGTCAGTAGGTGGTGAGATCACACACACACACACCATCAGGTCATCCTGACTCTGAGTCACATGCGGAGTCTGTTCACCCTTATCTGTCTCTCCTTCAAATAAACTTTATTAAACAGCAGCTCTTAAAGCTCTCGCACACTCTGCTGTCTGCAGTCTGTGTTCAAGCTTCATGTTTTTATGATATTACACATTTGTGTAAAATCAGCCGCTCTGTGTCAGCACACCTGTCCATCTTTCAGGCTGGTCACATGTCGCAAACTCTGCCCTTTGCATGTAATTATGCTCAATAAACTTTGGTTGATTTACTTAGTTGATGACCACTTCCTGTGTTAGCAGTGTTGGGGAGTAACGGAATACATGTACCGCCGTTACGTATTTAAAATACAAAATATGAGTAACTGTATTCCGTTACAGTTACCGTTTAAAAAGGTGGTATTCAGAATACAGTTACTTTGTTGAAATAAATGGATTACACTGCGGTACTTTCCTGTTTCATGTTGTCGCGGGTCAGGACTGTTTGGGTTTTGTTTGACAGCTACGTTCTGTTGTTCCAGGCGGCAGCGTTACGGTTGCCATGGTTACAGGGCGACGCTCTCTCTCTCTCTGCGACTGTGTGTTTCCTGGGTGAGAGAGCGCCTTTTCGTTGTTGTTGTGCTAAGCTAACAGGCAGAATGCTACAAGCATAGCTCTAAAGAATGTAGCATCATGGGCAGTGTAGTCCGTGTTGCAGGGAGAATGGACTGCCATACACGTTATGGGTCTGTGAGCGCGAGGAGGGAGAAAAAGGGGAGTGGAAAGGTACGAGTTGTCATCGAGGAAAAACGGGAGCTGGAAGCATGTAAATATAATAATAACCACTGCAGCCAAGAAGAGTGCCTGACGAGCCCAGTTGTAAGTAAGCTATTAAGACTCGACTGTACACCGTGTTCGTGTTTTCCTCCGAAAACAATAAGTTCCGTTGGAGCAGCCTTTCAACGCCTCTCTCTGTCTCTCGCAAGAAAAGTTGACCCACACAACAAAGTAAAGCTATTTTTCGGCTACGAGCCGACAGGGACCCCGCCGTATTAGTCAGAGGTCCCTTTACTACAGTTCGGAGTCGCGGACCTTCAGTAATAGTAATAAATCACACAGCAATAGTACATTCACGTTGTTGTAAAAAGCATGATAATATATTAAGTAATCCAAAGTATTCAGAATACGTTACTGTCATTGAGTAACGTAACGGAATACGTTACAGAATACATTTTGGGGCATGTAATCTGTATTCTGTAATGGAATACATTTTAAAAGTAACCTTCCCAACACTGTGTGTTAGGATAAGTGAAGCCAGATGAGGAAACGTCTTAGTACAGGCCCCAGCTTCCCACCTCAACAACACACCTCATAGCTGATCTCTGAAGGGGGTGGGGCTTCTGACACAGGTGGGGATTCGTATGTACATGGGACCTCTGAAGCAGCTTCGAGCGATTTGTTGATAAAGATGATTGGCTAAAAACAACCCAAAAGACACAGCTGTTAAGGTTTGAATTGGAAACATGAAGAATATGAAAAGACTGAGCTGATTCAGGTGGACACAGGTGGACTCACCTGATCAGTGGAGGGACACAAAGCGTAGCAGCCAAAGGCAGCGATACAGATGGAAACGATAAACTCCAGGAGACAGAAAACAGCCAGAACAGCTCTCTGGACCTGGGAGGATAAAAAAAACCCTGTGCTTTTAGCCCTTTCCATTAGAACCTATTCCGATCAGGCTGAGGCGACTTGAGTACCACCTCATGTGCGTGGGACAATTACAGCAACACGGCTGAATGTCCTGTGATGTCATTTATATGCAGCATGAACGCCATTTTCTACTTGCTGCTCGGTCTGTGGCTTTTTGTCGGACTCGGGGACCGCAGTGTTGTTTCTGTGCAGCCGTTTCCCTCTTTGCCAGATTTTAAAAATGGCAGCTTCGATTTTCACAAAGGAGACGCTCTCATGACTCATGGAGTGGTGCCACTGACAAGCCAACCGGTAGCACATTTTCAGATAACCTTGCAAGTAGGTCAGTACCCTAACACCAGGGGTGCAACTCCAGGCCTTGAGGGCCGGTGTCCTGCAGGTTTTAGATAACACCCTGGGTCAACATGCCTGAATCAAATGATTAGTTCATTACCAGGCTTCTGGAGAATTTCAAGACATGTTGAGGAGGTAATTTAGCAATTTAAATGGCTAAATTACCAAAGACACATCTAAAACCTGCACGACACCTACCCTCAAGGCCTGGAGTTCGACATCTGTGACCTAATGGAAAACCCTAAAAACCACGTCAAGCCATGCCACGCCAACCCGAGCAGGTACTAATGGAAAAGGGCTTAATTATTGTAGCAAGAAATACTGATAGCCTCTAATGATAAACAGGAACAATTAGAGACCACAGTCAATCGCAGTAAATCTAGACACAGAATAAAACTCTCAATAAAAAGGACATGAATCATAATAATGATGATCATTTATAACAGGAGAGAACGTCATCGCTTCAAAAGTTTCCACATTAATTTTAAACCAGTCGCCACACTTTTCAGACTATTTTTGCTTGAAGGAACCGGACTAAAGAGCACTTTCTGCTAAATGCGCCGTAAACCTACACATTACACTTTTTTACTGTTGGTAGTAGGTGATGTGAGCGTCAGCGATGGGATGGCAGCACTTCTGTCTGAGACCTGACTGTCATGCAAGTTTTCTGTACTCGTTTGATTGGCAGACACAGCTGCTCTAAATGTTCTTCTTTTTTTTTATTAGTAAAATTAACATACAAACAAAATGCACCATATATTACACATTCAGAGAATAAACATTCCTTACATATTAGCAACTTTCATACATAGGAAAAAGAAAATATAAAGATGGGGTCACATAATTTAACAGATTATTAACTCACTAAATCAAAATCTTCCACAAAGGAAACAAAAAAAGCAGCTTTTTCTTTTTAACTAAGTCAAACAGATACAAATAGCATTTGTATTTATTTTTATCCTATTGTATATTTTATTCTATTTATTCTGTACAGTTGTGTACAGTATGTTATTCTTATTGTATTCTAATTTTGCTATATAACTTTTGCACTGTCCACTTCCTGCTGTGACAAAACAAATTTCCCACGTGTGGGACTAATAAAGGTTATCTTATCTTATCTTAAGATTTAACCAACAGGTTTAAGTCGTTTTTCCAGTAAGCTAGTGTTGGTTTGGTCTTAAAAAAACGACATTTATGTATAAATTGCTTGCACAAGATTAATAACACATTAACACCATAATTAGCTTTCTTTTCTTTCAAAAACACTCCAAACATTATCATATTTAAGGTAAATGGGGTAATTTGAATCCCACTGGAATAAAGCCAGGTATGAAAATCCAACCAAAATATTTGTATAAAATTGCACAAAAAGAATAGATGGTCCAAATCCTCCTCTTCTGTTTCACAAAATACACAATTACCAGTTTCTATTTTGAATCTATCACCAAGGAGTCTATTTGTCGGGTAAATTTTATTCAAGATTTTAAATTGGACTTCTTTCCCTTTAGGAGGGATAGGGAAGGTTAACTGAATACCATCTATATATAATTGCCTTAACTTGGGGGAGATGTCAGAATATATTATATCATTTACAACTATGTTTTTAAGTGACAATGGAATGGATTTTATAACCCGATTAAATTTACTTTTAGAACATTGGATATTAAACTTTTGGCAAAAATCTTGATGTCCTAGAACATGTCCTTCCTCATCTACAAAATGGGCAATTGCCCAAACACCTTTTGATAACCAATCTTGAATAAAAATAGATTTTCTGTTCATCAGTATATATCTATTGTTCCAAATTGGGCTATTATGTGGAGTGAAATTATGTTTAAATAACATTTTCCAATAAAGAAGGACCTGTTTATGGAATTCAGAGAGTTTAGCAGGTAGCTTAGTAATTTCAAAGTCACACTTTAGGAGAAAGTCGATACCCCAGTGTGTTAAAGACCTTACTTGGTATAAAAAACCAAATGGAGTGTGGATTATTTAGGAAGGATTTTAACCATTTAAGTTTCAAAACACCATTCATTATGTCAAAATCAATTGCGTTTCCACCGCCTTCAATGTATGGTTTAACCAAATCATCTTTAGATATATAATGGCACTTATTCCTCCAAATAAAATTAAAATTCAAGCTATTAATTGTTTTAATAACTTTATTCGATATTGATAGAGAGTAAGCTGGATATATAAATCTAGATAAACTATCCATTTTGGTTAATAATATTCTTCCAAAAATTGTGATGTCTCTTTGTAACCACTTATTTAGGATTGTCTTACATTTGTCAACATTATCTAAAATAGTCAAAGGAGCTTGCAAAGAAAAGCGTCTGGACTTCTTTAAGTTACTTGAAGACGTTTCACCTCTCATCCGAGAAGCTTCTTCAGTTCTAAGGTCAAATGGTGGAGAGTCCCAGATATAAACCTAGTGGGACCCACACCCATTTCAA